TCAGCTGGAGCTTCCTCTGCTTCAGTTTGTGCCCGTTGCCCCTTGTCCTGTTGTTGGGCACCACTGGAAAGAGTCTGGCCCCATCCTCCTGACCCCCACCCTGCAGATATTTAGAGGCATTTCTAAGGTCCCCTCTCAGCCTTCTCTTCTCCAGGCTGAACAAGCCCAGCTCCCTCAGCCTCTCCTCGTAGGAGAGATGCTCCAGTCCCCTCCTCATCCTCGTAGCTCTCCGCTGGACTCTCTCCACCGAGGAGGTCGCAGTGCTAGTGGTGACACGCATGCTACGAGAGCACATCTTGGGGATGGCTGCAGCTTTGCAAACCACCTCATGTGGCTCCGCGCAAGCCCTAGATCCTCCTGGATGTGCTGGTGTGGGGGCAAGGCCAGGCTTCTCAGACACAGCAGCATTTTTCCATGCTGTGCGAGGAAGCCAGCTGCGATGTGGCATTCCCAGAGATGCCATCCTGAGCAGCACCAACCCACTGCCTTGATAGGACAAGGAGCAATGGCTTTAAACTAAGAGAGGGTAGATTTAGACTGGATATAAAGAAGAATTTTTTTACAATAAGGGTGGTGAAGCACTGGCACAGGTTGCCCAGAGAGGTAGTGGAGGCCCCATCCCTGGAAATGTTGAAGGTCAGGTTGGACGGGGCTCAGAGCAATGTGATCCGGTTGAAGATGTCCCTGCTTACTGCAGGGGGTTGGGCTAGATGACCTCTAAAGGTCCCTTCCAACCCAAAGCATTCTATGATTCTATGATTCCTCCCTCCCCAGCCTACCACTGCACGCACCGACCCTCGTCAGGGCTGCGGGGCTGCCGAGAGCAGAGGAGTGTCTTCATCCCTTGTGATCCTTGTTCCCTGTGCGTCCCTGAGGTCAGCCCAGTACACTCACATCTGTGTTTTCCCCTGGCCTGGTTTCCCGTCCGTCTCTCCCAGCCAGGCGCGGAGCAGAGGCAGCGGGTGACCCCCCCCAGCCGCTCAGAGCTTGCTTTGTTCAGCCTGCGCGTTCTCCAGATCCTCCGCTTCCAGAAAGGGCTGCGCTGATCTCCCCGTGCTGCCTGGGCTGGGGGAAGACCATCCTGAACAGACACCCTGGCTCATCACGAGCAAACTCTCTGGGCTATCTCTGCTCCTGTCCCTCCCTCTTTGGGTGCCTTTAACTGCCTGCACTTTGCCGCTGCCGTGCCTCTTCTCCCCGGTGCGCGCCGTCCCTGGCGTGATGTGAGTGGCTCTGATGGATAGGGAGCGGATCCCTGGGGCCCCTGGCCGGTCCCGCAGCTCCTGGCTCGGCCGCGGTCTCTTTGTTTAGTTATAAACAATGACCTAAAACGAGAGCTTCGGCCGATCCTTCCCCGGTGCTGGGCCGGGGCCAGGGCTGTGTCCTGACATGACGGGTTGCACGGCGTGTGTGCGCGCGTCCGTGCCGATACGGGCGTCTTGTCTGGGGAGTGCCTTGAGTGGGATTTGGGAGGACTGCGAGTGGGCGGACGTGGGGCAGGAAGCGAGTGAGAGCCGTTGCTGTGTGTGACAGGAGTCACCGGGACGGGTCCTCAGCCAGCGGCAGAAATGAGAGGCAGGAAGAGATGCGCTTTTCCAAGGTCACCCGGGGGACAGGCGGATGGACACATCCATCCATCCCTGTCTCATCCCGGATTCCTGCTCCCTTTGAAAGGGGTGTTTGGGAACCTTTATGCTTATGTTGGCATAAAAACAGATGGCTAATATGGGGAAGAATTCCCCCTGTTGTTGAAATTTAGCTTGGTTCAAGTTCCTTGTCTGCCGAAAACTCCCTGCACAACCACGTATTCGCTTTGACTTTCTCTGCTTCCATTTTCTGCTCAGAGAAAAAGGAAACGGTGCTGCCCAGCCCCACAGCTGCTGCTTGCCGTGCCAGCCTTGATACCAGGGCTGTGTCTGTGCCGCACTGCTCATCTGAGCTGCTGACGTGGCACCTACGCCCTGCGCACATCTGGAGGTGCCCAGATGTGCCTGGACAGGAGTCCTGTTAGCCCTGAGACTCAGATTTTCCTTGCTGTGTTTTACACACCTATTCTTGCCTTCTCAAAGGAGAAGATTAAGGGGGAGAAGCCAAGAGTGTGCCCAGAAGCAGGGCCGGGGCTCCTTTGGAGCGGGGTTCTGGGGCGAGGGATGGTGGCGGGGGGGGGGGAGCCGTACTGTCCCCTACAAGCAGCTGTCCCCACGGCCGAGGCCACGCCGGCGTGCGCCCGGTGCCGGACACTGCCCTGAAATGAGACAGAGCCTGAACCCCCTGCCGTGTCCATGGCCGCGTTTCTACTTTCCGTCCTCCACCAGCAAATGACCTCAGCTGCCTCCTTCTCGCCTTGCCAGGTCTGTGCGCTCTCTCGATCAACCACGCCAACTCCTACTTGGCTTATCCCGGCAGCGCGACCAGCGGAGAGATCGCGCTTTACGACGGAAATACTTTGGTAAGTGCGAAGCTCGCCCATTTGGATACCGGCAGGGACTGAAAACAAACAGAACCACAGCAAAGCCAGCAGGGCCTTTGGGAAGGATGAATAAATACGCTCCACCGAGCTCGACTGCAAGGGAATTGCCTGGGGCAGGCACGTTCCCCATCCCCCTTGCTTGGACGCCGTGCGAAGCAGCCAGGCTCTCTGAGGTCAGGACATCCATCTCCCACTACGGGATATCAAGGGAAACGTGACCCATTACCCCACAGCCCGAGGGCCGCTGCCAGGCTGACGCAGGGGTTCCTATAGAGCATTCCTGTAGGAGCTTCAGCAGCATATCCCATGGGAGCGATGTGACCAGGGTGGCTCGGGGAGGGTTGGAGCTGCTCCAGGTGCAGCGCAGGACCTGGAGCAGCTGCTCTGCTGTGCTGTGGGCTGGAAGGGATCACAGAATCACAGAATGGTGGGGCTTGGAAGGGACCTCCGTGGGTCATCTAGTCCAAGCCTCTTGCCAAAGCAGGGTCACCTACAGCAGGCTGCAGAGGACCTTGTCCAGGCGGGTCTTAAATATCTCCAGAGAAGGTGCCAAGAAAGCTAATGGGATCCTGGGGTACATTAAGAGGAGTGTGGCCAGCAGGTCGAGGGAGGTTCTCCTTACCCTCTGCACTGCCCTAGTGAGGTCTCATCTGGAGTACTGTGTCCAGTTCTGGGCTCCCCACTTCACGAAAGATGAGGAGCTACTGGAGAGAGTCCAGCAGAGGGCTATGAGGGTGGTGAGGGGACTGGAGCATCTCTCCTACGAGGAAAGGCTGAGGGAGCTGGGCTTGTTCAGCCTGGAGAAGAGAAGGCTGAGAAGGGACCTAATAAATGCTTATAAATATCCACAGGGTGGGTGTCAGGAGAAAAGGGTCAGAATCTTTCCAGTGGTGACCTTTTTTTTCTTGTTCAGCCTGGAGAAGAGAAGGCTGAGAGGGGACCTTAGAAATGCCTCTAAATATCTGCAGGGTGGGTGTCAGGAGGACAGGGTCAGACTCTTTCCAGTGGTGCCCAGCGACAGGACAAGGGGCAATGGGCACAAACTGAAGCCGAGGAAGTTCCAGCTGAACATGAGAAAGAACTTCTTCCCTCTGAGGGTGACGGAGCCCTGGCCCAGGCTGCCCAGGGAGGCTGTGGAGTCTCCTTCTCTGGAGATATGCTGGACCCGAAGCCATGGAGAGAGCGAGGTGTCCAAAGCCCTCCTCAGGAGATCTGTCCCTGGCTGGAAGCGGGGTCATGATTATCTGCTGTTTATGCCAGGGCTTTGGATTACAGCAGGCTGTAGCTCTGTGTGTGCAGCGGGAGCTGGGGATCTGCAGCAGGGGAGGAGCAGAGCGCGAGGGGAAAACACGCTGCTGCTGTGAGAGGTACTAGCGGGGGCTTGGGCTCCTGCAGGCATCAGGCTGCTGTCGCTGCAGCAGGACGTGCCGCGCAGCCGAGCGGCTTGCAGGGAGGCCGGCTCCGTCTCCGCACAGAGAAATGCCAGGCTTCGGAGAGGGCACAGTCGTGAACCCCCAGCCTGCAGAGTTGGGGAGCTGACCCCTGAATTTCAGGGCTCATTTCTGCCCCTGAAATGAGCTTTCTGTAATCACAGTGGCTGCAGAAGGTGGGGAGTGAGCTAAAGGCAGGGCAGAGGTGAGAAACGCTGAGCGATACCGTAAGTGCGATACGCTCCCGTGAATCCGTATCGGCAGGCCTGGATCGGGTGCGGGGCAGGGCACACCCTGCCCTTACGCAGCCCGAGGAGCGATGAGTTTCTTTGCACTCACATTACCTTCTGCCCTACAGAAAACAGCCTGCTCCATTCCTGCCCATGACGGGCCGCTGGCTGCTCTCGCCTTCAACTCCACCGGCTCGAAGCTGGCGAGCGCTTCCGAAAAAGTGAGTGAGCCCCACTGCAAGCCCCCTCCCTGCTGCCCGTGCTCTCTGCCCACGGTGGGCAGGGGGTCCCAGCCAGCTCGGCTGCCTAGAGCATGGAGAGCGGGACCTCTGAGCAGCCCCGTTCTTAAACACAGCCGGCAAAAGGACTCTGCCTTGCAAGAGGGCGGTGTGTCGGGTTCAGATTGACCCTGGCTGGCAAACAGAGTGAGCCCCACTGCAAGCCCCCTCCCTGCTGCCCGTGCTCTCTGCCCACGGTGGGCAGGGGGTCCCAGCCAGCTCGGCTGCCTAGAGCATGGAGAGCGGGACCTCTGAGCAGCCCCGTTCTTAAACACAGCCGGCAAAAGGACTCTGCCTTGCAAGAGGGCGGTGTGTCGGGTTCAGATTGACCCTGGCTGGCAAACAGGAGGGGCCTTTGCACATCCTGAGTTTCCTGGGTGTGTCAGAGAAAGGGCTTGCGCTCTTTGCCCTGCTCCTGCATGATCTTTCCATTTGCATTTTTTGCAGGGCACAGTCATTCGTGTGTTTTCCATTCCTGGTGGGCAAAAGCTGTACGAATTCCGTCGAGGGATGAAAAGGTCAGTTCATTCTTCTGTCGGTGACAAGTACACAGAGGGCTCCCGGAGCAGAAATGTAAACATAGGGACACAGCAACGTCAGATCCTGGTGGCTTTGGCATCTTTTGCAGAAAGAAAACAAGAGCGAGCATATCAGATAGAAATGTCATTGTGGCAGACAGCCACGCTGCGCCCCGCTGCCTCCGGCAAGTTTAGTGATTCAGTTCAGTGTGTCGCAGAACAGGGCGACTGCAGAGAACAGAGGTAGATTCTGTTCATTTGCTTCGTCCTTTCTTGTTTCTGACTTGAAATAATGAAGTCCCGGAAGTTATCAGCCCAACTCTTGCCCACTCAAAGGAGGTGTTATGAAGCTACCAAGTCATTTGCGCAGAGCCCAAGTCTCGATGGCGGGGAGGGGCTGTTGCTGCCCTGCTGCAGGCTCCCTCATGTATTTTCAGCAGATCCTTTCCTGTCTTCTCCCTCTTCCCCATCCCTGACCTGCCTGTGGTTTTACACCCACTTCTGTGAGCGCAAAACCTGCCATGACCGAGACACCCCAGCCCTGCTGAGCCTGCGCAGGGTGTGATGCCACGTGTGTCTCACTGTCCAGCCCATTGGATAGCCTCCCTGGCCTTTGCAGGACCAGAAGCTTTAGCTGCTGTAGTGAGGCCGGCACAGATGTTCACTCCACAGACAACTCTGTGAGCAAGGACGTTGCCACCTCTCTGGCCGTTAGCCACTAACTGGAGGCCACCCCCAGCTCTTCTGAGCAAAGGGAATAGGGAAATGCTAGTCAGCCAGCCCACAGGCTTGGCAGCAGCCAGGCAGGGTGCTCCTCGCCATATGTGGGTCTCTGTGAGCAAGACTTAGGAGTTTGCCTTGAATGATAATGCCACGAAGTGACCCGTCCTGTCTTTGCTTGGCCCTAGGTATGTGAATATCAGCTCTCTGGTGTTCAGCATGGATTCCCAGTTCCTCTGTGCTTCCAGCAACACAGAAACCGTGCACATCTTTAAACTGGAGCATCTCACTGACAGGTGAGGGGGTTAGCCTGGGTTGACCTGCCTGCCCCAGGGCTGGCTCTGCTTCAGACCTCTGCCTCTATGCAGCTGGCTTGCCTGTCCTCACCACCTACTCGCCGTGAGCAGTACCAGCTGCACACCGTCCCTTTGGCTTTGCATCCTAGGGGATTCACCCCTCGGAAAAGCTACAGACTGCATACCTGCTGTCAGCCTCTCCAGGCCTGCTCTGGGTTTATTAGCTGCCACTGTCCCCTGCCTCCTTCCCGGGTACCCAGCTAGGCTGGTGCACAGTGTGTGCAAGTGCTCCAAAGAAAGCCTTTGTGTATCTGAGATCGGGATCATTTCAGTTCCTGGTCTGTTTTGTCACGGCTGATTGCAGTAGCCCCACTGATGCTGCTTTGTCACCCCCTCAGCCGGCCAGAAGAGCCTCCAACCTGGAGCGGTTACATGGGGAAGATGTTCCAGGCTGCTACCAACTACCTCCCTGCTCAGGTATCAGGCATGATGAACCAGGATCGAGCCTTTGCCACTGTCCGCCTGAACTTCTCCGGACAGAGGAACATCTGCGCCCTCTCCACGTATGTATTGACATCTGCATCCCCTCTGCCACGCCAGCCGGTGAGCAGACACGACTGCCTCTGCAGAACACCACCACCCCGGCCCGTTATCTCGCACCCGTGCCTGCAGAGCACGCAGTGTGGGTGTGTGCTGTGTCTGTGTGCGAGTGCACAGGGGTTTGGACTCATGGTGCTTTTCTCATTAGGATTCAGAAGCTGCCTCGACTGTTGGTGACTACGTCAGATGGACATCTCTATATCTATAACTTGGACCCACAAGATGGAGGGGAGTGTGTCTTAATTAAGAAACACAGGTAACTATACCTCCAGGCATGTCCAGTAGAGCGGCTGATCTTTTAAAAAATTAAGGGAAATTTCACCTGAAAGCACCAAGTGGATCTGCAGGAGCACGAACGTTAGAACTGGCATTGTGATTTTAGCTGCCTGATCCGGCAGACGTGGGTGGGAACCACGTCAGCAGGCAGGGACGTGGGGCTTCGTGCAGAAGAAGCCAGACCTCTCAGATCCCTAGGCAGTTGTGGGACATCTCAGCTTAGGCAGCAGAGATGGGCAGGCTGTGCCTTAGGAGATGCCTCCAGCAGCAGAGCGCTGGCCACCATGGTGGCAGGAGGGCAAAGCACCTTCTCCAGATGTGAGTGGGTGCTGGAGAGCCGATACTGGGGGTAGGGATAGTGTGGAGTGACGCTGGGAGCTTCCGTAAACACAGACCGGCGCAGATGCATGCCTGCATGTCTGCCGTGCCAACGCAGAGCCTTCCGCGCTGCTGTTCGGTCTGTATGCAAATCTGATTAAGCACGTAACCCTCCACGCACATCTGGGCTACTTGGCTCCAGATGTGAAGCCTTTTGGGGTGGGGTGCGATGTAACATGTGCTCTAAGCCGGGGAGGTGGCTGCCGGCCAGGAAAATGCCAGCGGTTTTTTGAAAAGCCACAAAACAAAAGCGCTTCCAGGCCGCGCTGTCCAGCGTGCTCCGGCCGCCCTCCGGAGCCGGCCGGCCAGCTCCCTGTGTGGATTCCTCTTAGCATCAGAAGACTGAAAAGGGCCCTTGGGTCATGAGTTACGTTACATCATACTATATCTCTGCTCAAAGGCCATCCTAAACTAGCCAGGGCTGCTTTTCCCATCTAGTCCGCTCCTGTTGGAAGCCCTTTGGAACTCCCTCTGTGATTAGAAACACTGTTTGCCTTTGTAACCTAAAGCTTTTGTGGTCAGTCTGTTCCCTTCTATTCCCGTGCCAGCATTGTCCTCTAGCCGAAGTGGTGTTTTCCCTATCTTCTGCTTCCCCCCCCCGCTTTACTCTCAGAGCACAATGCCCTCCTCTGCAGCGCTGCTGGGGCTGCAGGCGGTGCCTGGATGCGGTGGTGCAGACAGGTGATGTGCTTCAGGGAGATGTGGATGCGTGTGCTTGTCTTAGCCGGTGCTGGGGGAGGAATGGTTGGGGTCAGAACTAACTCCTCCCCTCTCTTGCTCCTGTACAATTAGTCTGCTTGGCTCAGGAAAGACAGAGGAAAACAAAGAAAATGACCTTCAGCCTCCATTACCTCAATCTTACGCAGCAACTGTAGCCAGACAAAGTACAGTGCCTTCAACTTCGACCATGCCAGGTAAGTAAGCATCGTGCCTGGCTTTCTAAGCAAGAAGGCCACCTGTGGCAAAGTGGAAATTCTCCCAACTTCCAAGGTTTCAACCAGAAACACCGGTTGTGCAAAGCAGCCCCGGCAGCAGGGCTCTCTGGAGCTCAGCTGGTTCATCCCCTGCCCCCAAAACAAGCCAGGCATTTTCTGCTCTGCTTCCCTGACCCCCTGCCAGCGCTTCTCCTCCCTGCGCAGAGCTGCACCGTGGTGGGCCCACCGGCAGAGCAGTAACCACATCCAAGCTTCACAGTTTGGCAGATGGCAGCTGCTGCCAGGCTGGTTTCCAGGAGCTGAAACCACGGGGGGTAGAAGTCAGATCTCACCATTTTTGTGGCAAGATCGCTACAGATGCTCTTAAACCTGTTAGACCTTACCCTAACGAAGCTAGGACCAAATTGTTGCAGGGGAAGACCAGGTGACTATAACGTTGTATTCCCAAGCCTTAAGGTCCACATGCCGATGTGGATCTCGTTCTGAAATTGGTGCTTACCTTCATGGTGAGAGGAGGAAAGCTTTGTGCCGCAGGAGCTAGCCATGTACTCCATTCCCTAATCTATAGTGCCCATGGAGATGCCTTTCTCTTCCGCAGACCCCCAGAGCTCTGCCAAAAAGCCAGAGAAAGCCGCTCTGTGCTTAAAAGGTGATAAAATAGTCTCTGCTGTTTGTTTCCAGCCTCCTTCCGTCCATTTATCCGTAATGTTTTGTATTTTTCACGTGGACAGGTTATTCGGAGGACGGCGGTGCCCTGCGAGGAGAGGTTATCCCAGAGCATGAGTTTGCAACTGGACCCGTGTGTCTCGACGACGAGAATGAGTTTCCTCCTGTGAGCATTCGGGACCCCTAAAACTGCAGTTCAGCCCTCATGCTAAGAAGAAAGTATTAATCTGTTACAGAAGAGATACTGTTGCCCCCACCTTGTCCCAGCTCACTGTGAAGCCTAAAATAACTAATTAGGTTGTAGGGACAGTGCCAGGAAAATTACACCCCTGCTAAATGGCAGCTGGGGATGGGGCAAAGGTGATCGAGCCGAATAATTAGAGATGGATCTGAACAAAGTAGTGTGGATGCAGCATGATGTTCAGATCCAGATCTGACCGTTGTGCCTTGTGCAGATTTCTAGTATTACCAGGAATAGCTTTAATTTGAACACTATCATCATTTAGAAATAAAACCTTAACATTCCCTGTTGCATTTACAGTCAGTTGTATTAGTTTATGGAATGCAACTGGGACATACCTGAACCTCACCAGTCTCTTCGTTTCCAAGCTAACTGAAAAGGAAACTGCTTTTCCAAGTACAAAGATGAAAGGCATAACAGAGTTTAAAACCATTTTATGATTTTTACATGGCACTTTCTCAGTTACAGTTGGAAGAAGATACTGGCTTTTTAAAACCTAACTTAAGCCTGGCAGTGTCTCTCCTGCTCCTCTTCCTATTACACACGCATTTCTTGTGTTCAGTGTCTCGAACGGACAGATGCTGGTACCGTGCTATGCTCTGGTTGTAATCAGCGGTGTCTTCCTAATGGTGAGGCATTAATGCGGCAGAATATTGTGATGGAGTTCAGGCTGTAGACTTGGCAGACTGGTGAATCCCTCAGTCCGTGTTTACATATCCTGCTGTTGGAGTTTTGCCTGAAAAGGAGGAAGTAAAAACTATCAGGAACCCGGGATTTGTTCCATGCGCTGAGGCTGACCTCTGTGAGGCACTTTCCTAACCGATGCAAAGTGTTATGTAGATAAAAGGTGACGAGCTCCTGGCTCCCTTTGAAACAACACTGCCTAAATCCAACTCAGGCTGCACAAACCTTAGACCAATTCTGTTACCTGTAACCTAACCTGCTGCAAACTGAGAACAAGCTTTCTAGCTGTCCTACTCCATTACCCGAGGAGGATACTCAGAATGTCCCTCCTCTGGTCAAAGCCACAGAGCAACTGGTGGCCCGGGCCCCTGGAAGGAGCCACAGGGCCAGAGAGAAATCCTTTGCTTCCTTCTGGTGAACCTGCTCTTCAGCCTGTGGTTTGGGGACAAGCAAATGCCAGCCAGCAGGACCAACGCTGCTCCTGAGCGAGCCTTCCCGCTGGGTCTGTGCCGTATGAAAGCAGCCCCGAGCCCCGGCTGTACAGCAGCAGGCGCCTGATTAAACGAACTTTGATCTGTCCAAACCCTGTGCTCCAGTTAACCTGGAGGAGCAACCTACGTGTGTAACGTTAGGGAGGAGGTGGTGTGGGAGGGGGGGAAGGCTCGTTCCAAAACCCCTCCCCGCTACGGTGCCGTAGCAATTGGAGCTTCCAGATAAAGCCTCTGCAGCTGGGGCTTCACAGAATCGCAGAATGGTTGGGGTTGGCAGGGACCTCTGTGGGTCTCCAGTCCAACCCCCTGCCCAAGCAGGGTCACCCACAGCAGGCTGCACAGCACCGTGTCCAGGCGGGTCTGGAATATCTCCAGAGACCCTTGTCCTGCCGCTGGGTGCAGCCCCTCCGCTGCTGACAGCAGCGCGCTTTGCGTCTGGTCTTAGCAGCTGGTGCGGCGCTGGCTCCCACTGCGCGAGTGCGTCAGGAGAGTCGGTCGGGACGTTTTGATGCTCTGAGCTTCGCTGTTTTCTCAGCGCCGGGATGTTCGGTCTCAGTGACGCATTCAAGGGGGGTTTCAGGCATCGGTCACTTCTGTGCGGCGAAGGAAGGAGAGAAAACCTGACCTTATCCAACAAAAATGTTTTGACAGCATTCTGCTTTGTGGAAACATGGGAAGGGTTTTGTTTGTTTTCCAGTGTGCAACAAAAAGACGTTTAAAAAACCTCAAAACTTGTGACAAAATGGAATATTCACCCGCAGCCCATGCCACAAGTGTGGCTTTGAACTCAGACGTACTCTTGGAGAAACAGCAGCGCTCAGCCCGGCAGTTCCTCTCCCTTTGGAAACATCTCGCCTTCCCCTGACCTCGAGCAAGGCTTCAGAGGCTCAGCTGTTAAGAGCGAGGAAAAGCAGCTTCAGTCTAACACGAAATGGGTTGCTGATTGTTGAAAACTGCCTCTTCATTAAACAGAAGGAGGGATGGATCAGAGAGGAGACGAGAAGTCCACGGAGGGCTCATAAAAAGTGGCCTCAACAAGAGCGAATGTCAATGTTGCTACTGCTTGTGCCAGGACTGCTGAAGGCTCCTGCGGCAAGAGGTTAAACGAGCTCGGTGACGTCTCTTGCTGGCGTTTAGGGAGTGGATTAAGCGCTTTCAGGTCGGCTGTTGCTCCTACGCAGGCAGGACTGGGGCGTTGCTGAGGTGGGCGGCAGGCTGAAGCCTCGGGCGAGGCGAAGGGGCCGCGGCTCTGCATGGTCAGAAGGGGTGGGAAGAGCCGACCCAGCTCTGGCTGCAGATGGTTGCGGCGATTACGGCTGTTCTCTGGTCACCTGCCCGAGCAGCTGCCTCCTTTCTGCGGGTTCGTCGGTGTCGGTGAGGTTTCCAGCAGTGCTGGGAGCTGTTGGGGTGTGCTTCAGGCCAGGCCAGGCACCGCTTGGCCAGTCCAACTTTTGGTAGCCACCATAGTGGTTCTTCCCACCCAGTCATGGTCAGAACACATCTTGGGAAGCGCTGTGAGGTTTGACAAAAGAAATCCCACAGGATTCAGCAAGCATGAGGGCCTGTGTGAACCTGAGGAATGCAGCCAGAGGATCTTCTTAAAACTTCTGAGATGCAGTAAGAGAGGTGATTTCCTCTAGCAGATTGCTCAGTGTTTTTCCAGGCTTGCATGACCCGTCCTGCCTTTGGCTGCACGCTTAAGCTTGTCAGCTTTGGGACCGGTGCTGATGTGAAGGCTTTATCAGGAGAGCCATTTCATTAAGTCAGGCTAGATTGCATACAGCAGTCGGCTCTTCAAAGACAGCTTCCCCTCACTGGTCCACAGACAGTCTTTAAAAACATTGATTTTTTCTGACAGCTTCCAAAACTGGGCAGCCTGCCTGTGCTGCCCAAGGGTGCTGCTGCCCGTGCGTGCCCGTGGCTCCTGCCGTGAAGGCTTTATCAGGAGAGCCATTTCATTAAGTCAGGCTAGATTGCATACAGCAGTCGGCTCTTCAAAGACAGCTTCCCCTCACTGGTCCACAGACAGTCTTTAAAAACATTGATTTTTTCTGACAGCTTCCAAAACTGGGCAGCCTGCCTGTGCTGCCCAAGGGTGCTGCTGCCCGTGCGTGCCCGTGGCTCCTGCCTGCAGTGTTGGAGCTGGGCTTGTTCAGCCCGGAGAAGAGAAGGCTGAGAGGGGACCTTAGAAATGCCTCTAAATATCTGCA